AGTCATTGAAGCCAGGTCAAGTGGGTATTATCTGCAAGTGTGGGTGTTCTTGTGCATGTGCCCTCTTTTTTTATCAGCCGGACGCTTCACTCTCCATATTGTAGTGCTTAGCAACAATGCATTTTTAAGAATCCAAAAAAGCAACCACAATGTTTAAACACAGAAGCCAAAACTGGATTAAAACTTTAAAATGCATTTTTTCTCCCCCAAATGCAGTGGACATCCTAAACCCTATGAGCTATAAATATGGTGCCTCCCTGAGATTCGCGCCATTAGTGACTTTGGAAAATAAAGTATCACAAGCCAACTTTGTGATGTCCCACAGGGGACACAGAAATGTGAGAAGGGGGTCAGAGGACTGAGGGAGCACAGTGACAGTGAATCAAAACTTTTAAGAAAATGCTGCATTTTAGAGGGTGATCAAGGTAGATATTGTGAGAAAGGTGGTGGGGAAACAGCAAAACCAGAGGTATGCAAAATGGAAAAAAGCATGGACTTCAGACATTAGCTCACGTATTGGGACCTTAAGGAGTTGGGAATCAATGTCTGAGTAACAGTGTCTGCTCTGAGTTGGAAGGTGCCTGGGAATGTGTAATTCAGACAGGTAATGCATGGTCATCCCGCTGGAGGTGAGGTGGGTGTTGAGACAAAGCAACCCCCAACCCACCCCCCTCCCACCCATCTTCCAAGTCTATGCAGACACCAGTAGGGCTGACAAATACAGACTCAGTTAAAGGCGTTCCTGAATTTCCAGCAGCATTATACCGTTGCTTTCTATCTCTCTTGCACGCACCCAAATATGCCTACAGGTCTGTTGTCTGCCTCCCACTGTTCCGTAAGGAAAGGCACAAGCCAAAGGAAGTGGGAAAATGCAGCCCAATGACCAGAACCTAAAGTGTACATAGCTGGTCAGGGGCACAGAAGAAATACTGTGTTAAGCAAGAGACTGTCTGGAGAAGGGGTGGGGGCCAAATGGTCACGATCATGCCAGCTCCCATAGCACACCTGGACCTGTCCCCACGCCAATGGGAATGGACAGCTGTGGCATATGACTAATGTCAAGAATTCGGTGAGGAGGTGGTATGCAGACCCAATGCCCTGAGCCACAGACTCCTGCCCTGAAGCTCTCAACTCTTACTATGTGGAGAGTGTTCACAGTCGTGCCCTCCTTTGGTCCTGAGAGGCAAGGACTCTGCTGGTTTACACAAGAAAACAAGTGAGGCTTGGGAGAACCCACAAGCCTGAGAAAGGAGCCGAGCAGGTCCAGCTTGGGTCCAGCTTCCTGGGACCATTGTGCCCACGTACAAGGCCCCTGTGGAGCTGCTTCAATGTCCAAGCCTTGCACGTACAGTTTTTCTAATTACTCATCAAAATACGTTCCAACATCACTTGAGCTCATGACTATCAACTACAAAGTCGGTCTGTGGGAGGGTGTCCAGAGGGAAAAGCCGGGGCTATCTGAACAAACAGTAAGTTCCGGTCATCCTCGGAAAGCCTGGGGTAGGGGGTGTACAACAAGCCAGCTGGCCGCAGACCCAAGTCATGTGGGCCTTGCAGATGACCCTTACCTGGGAGAGCTGGACAGCTAGAGGCAGGCTCCCAGCTGTCCAGAGCAAAGGCAACAACTCTCCCACAGCAAACATACACACACCACAATCACACACATACAATATTCTCACACATATACAGATTCACACACGATACCTATACACACACACACAATGCTCACACATGTATACACACCACACAACATATACACACTGACACACACATGCTCACATATACACTCACATATACCACACTTGTGCAAGTACATACAATATACACACATGCACACCACACATACATATATACACAAAAATGTTCTGTTCTCACATACCATGCTCACTCCACACACACATATACAATGTTCACAAATATACTCACGCATACCACACACTCACACCACACACACATATGCATACACCATGCACATATACACATTCGTATAGACCACACTCACACACATACAACGCTGTCACACACAAGTGTGTATTCAGTTCTTGAGCAGGAGGAGGTCAGGGGAGTGTAAGCACACCACTCCCTGGTGTGGTGCTGTTCTGTGGCTGTGCATGCTATTACCATTGGGGGGTCTCTAGTATTGCTCACAACATCTTCTCATTTGACAATTATCCCAAAATCAAAACGTTTTCTAAAAGCAAACACCACACGTGACTAATGCGCTGCACAATGCTGCTCTAGAAATCCTATTTGCCGGAGCTAAAGAAACCGGACAGTTACGTTCCGCCTCCCATTCCTGCTCGCGGTTTCCTCCCCTTATATAATCCAAAGGAGGCATGTATTTCAGTGGGCACTCCTGGGCAAAAGAGGGGGTGGTGGGTGGGGTGTGGCCAAGATTTGAGTTAGCGAGGGGAAAGGCGGGGTCTCCTTATTAGAAAGCAAGAAGAGTGCGTGGAATCCTGGAGACAGTTCCCCCTGGACTTCACCCAGCGCCCCCTCTGTCGATTCCCGCAGCCGTGAGCCGAGGGAAGGGCACTGCTGGATTCTCGTCCCTGGAGGCCTGGGCCAAAGTGGACGCAGAGTGGGTGTTCCGAACCAACCCCACGCTGTCCGTCCTTTACAGAGAAGGAATAGGGCGAGAGAGTTGCTCATCGCAAAGCCGAGGACCCCCCTTCTCTGGACCTTAAAGACTGCGGCTGCTCCTGGGCCAGGGGCGGGGGGGTGGGGGGTGGAAGACGGAGGTCCACTACCGACACCCTTGCGGACAAAAGCATCTGCGGGGAAGGAGCGGTGGGGAGCCGCCCCCGCAAAGGGCATATTCACCAGATCGTATCAGACAATCATCCAGACACACACCCGGCGACCCGCAGGTTTGGGCACGTTCTGGCCGGGGCGCCGGCGGCAGGAGGAGCGGGACTTGAGGCCGGGCCGAAGGGGGGGCTGGAGGACTCGGGGGCCAGTGTGTCTGGGCACTCGGACTGGGCTGGAGTGCTGAGAGGTCCAGGGGGGCTGGTAGCCCGGCCAGGGATCCAAGGGTGGAGAGATGAGCCAGGGGGCTGGACCCTAGAACCTGGGGCACGCCAGGGTGCCAGAGGCCCCAGGTTACTAGGGTTGGGGGTCTAGTCCATGGGGTTCCAAGGGCCGGACAGGGGTAGGCTGTACCTGGGATCTAGTCCGGGGGTCTCGCTTGGGACGCCTCCGGCCGACCTCGTCGCTGGTAACCCGAATCCTCCGCAACCCTTTCCCTGAGGCCCGAACCCCGAGCAGCCCACAGCCCGGGTTCGCCCAGGAAATGCCGCCCTCCCTACGAACGTGCGGCGCGCCCGGGGCGCCCCCGGCTGCTGGAACAAAAGAGCCGTTTGGGCCCGGCGCAGGCTGCTCCCGCCGGCCCTCCGCACCCCGGGAACGCTCACTCCGAGCGGACCCTCCCGGGCGCCGGCTTTGTCTGCGGGGCGGGTGAGCATCCCGCGGCCCCGCGCGGCCCCGCGCCGAGTGGCGGGCGGTGCACGAGCTCGGAAAGTTGTCGCGGGCGCCTCTCCCTCCCACTTCGTCAGGCCCCTCCGAGTCCGCCCCATTCATTTGTAGTGGGCGCACAGCCCCGGCCGGGCAGACCCCTCCGCACTTACCTTGCTCTTGACTTCCACGGCGCTGCAGTCGTAGAAGCGCAGGGTCTGGGACTTGTGGAAACTCCGGTTCATGGTTTCGGCCCCAGGCAGCGTCTTCGTCGCCCTCGCTCCGCAGGGGCTGTAGGGGGGCTCTGGGATCGACGACCCCACCCGCCACGCCTGGGCCCTGCGATCCCGCGCCCTCTCCGTGCGCCCCGGCCCGGGTCCGGGTCAGGTTGCCTCGCGCCCCGCGGGCTCCGTGTGTGGCGGGGCCGAGCGGGGCTGGCCGCGCGCCTCGGGGACTCCTGAGAACGCGCAGGAGGAGCGGGGACGCCGGCGCGCACCGCCCCACCTCCCTGCTCCCAGAGGAGCCGCCCCTCGCAGGGCCCGCCCCCTCTCCGCCCACCGCAGGACCCGCCCCCTCGTCGCCTTCCAGACGACCCGCCTAGCGTCTGTTTGCTCAACTACCCCCGGCAGGGGCGCTGTGCTCTCACAGTCTGGCTGAGCGGGAAAGGACGCTCAGTCGGCTGGCAGCGGCGTCTCCACCGACCGTCCAGGCCGCTTCGCTTACTTTACGCCCAGGCTTAACTGTCCGAGCTTCGGTTTGGCCTCAACAGGCAGCTTGGGAAGGGAACTGATTTCTGCTGTTGTCTCTGGTCATTAAGAGAGTTCCTGATCACCTTGGGCCTCTCCTACTCCTGTTTGTATACCAGTTGTCAAACTGTAAGTGGTCTTCCAAAGGGGTCTGTAGGGAGGCAAACTGCTAGGGAAGAGTCAAGCTCAGGTTAAATTAAAAGGGATAAGGGATGGATCAGAAGATCTCTAGACTTCATTAGAAGAAAGAGTTTGTTCAATAGCAACCCCTAGAAAAAGAACATGGTAGGAGAAAGATGGAATTGCTTGCCGGCAACATCATTGGGGTGTTAAGTCATCAGAACACCTGGAAGAGGAGTGTAGTGTCGTGCATACTTGATATGGTCCTTGTTACGCCCACAAAAAGATTGGATGAGTCATGCCAATAAATCTTGGTGTGGCACTAGGAAAAGCGCTGGGCCGCAAACCGCGAGGTCTACGGTTCAAACTCGCCAGACGCTCCTGGAAGCCCTGTACAGGGTCGCTATGAGTCGGAACCGACTCAAGGCACTTAACAACAATATGCAAATAAGTAGTACATCAACAGGAACTGATAAAAAATCCAAGAAGAGGACATGGAATGAGTGATATCGCTAATGCTAGATGGAACTTGGCTGAACGCAAAGATTACCACAAAGATGTTTATCTTTTCAAAGACATTCAACTGTGTGGCTCATAACACATTATGGGCAACATTGTGAAGACTGGAAATTCCCGAGCACTTCATTGTGTTCAAGCGGAACCTGTGCATAGAGTAAGAGGCACATACCAAGGGGACACCGCGTGGTTTAAAATCAGGAAAGGTGTGCATCAGGGTTGTGTCTTTCAAGAAATTTATTCACTCTGTAGGCTGAGTCAATAATTTGAGAAGTTGGTGTGTATGAAGAAGAATGCAGTATCAGGACTGGAGGAAAACTCATTAACAGCCTGTGATATGCAGATAACACAACCTTACTGAAAGCAAAGAGGACTTGAAACCCTTACAGATGAAGATCAAATTCTACAACCTTCTATATGGACTATACCTCAACATAAAGAAAATAAAAATTCTCACAACTGGACATCACGGTAACGGAGAAAAGACTGAGGTTGACAAGGATTTCATTTTACTTGGATTCACAATCAATGCCCATGGAAACAGCAGTCAAGAAATCAAACAACATATTGCATTGGACAAATCTGCAGCAAAAGACCTCTTTAAAGTGTTAAGAAGCAAAAATGTCATTTCCTGGAATAAAGTGTGCCTAACCCAAGTTATGGTTCTTTTAATCATCTCTAAGGAGCTACGTAGTGGTTATGAATCGGGCTGTGAACCGCAAGGTCAGCAGTTCGAAACTACCAGCTGTTCCACAGGAGAAAGATGAGGCGTTCTGCTCCTGTAAACCCTGTACAGGATCGCTATGAGTCGGAACCAACTTCACAGCACATAATAACAACAAGCATTCAAATGCTGGAGAATGAATAAGGAAGGTCAGAGAAGACTAGATGCCTTTGAATCATGGTGTTTCCAAACAGTATTGAATATTCCATGAACTTCCAGAAGAACAATCAAATCTGTCTTAGAAGAAATACAGCCAGATTGCTCCTTAAAAGCAAAAATGATGAGACTTCATATCACAAACTTTGGACAGCTTATCAGGAGGGTTAGGGTTATTCTAATTTTCCAGTTATCAGAGTCCTGATGTGCTTCTATAGGGTAAGCATTGGATTGCTAACCACAAGGTAGGTGGTTCAAACTTACCAGCCGCTCTTCAAAAACACCATACAGGGTTGTTATAAGAAAGAACTGACTCAACAGCACTTAAAAACAACAGCGTCACTATTACAAATTAACTAACCATTTATCCTTTAAAAAAATCTCGATGGGCAGCTTAGACATTTGCTACCTAAAATGAGGGGGCGATAAAGGCACGAAGTGACAGGATTGCAAGTTTTCACGAGGGAGTTTAGTTTAAGAGTGTGCAGGGGAAGGTGAAGTCCCCACTGAATAGTTTTCATTTTGTCTAGATGTGTCTGGTGAAAAGAGATGGGTAGAAGATTTTTATGGTTCAATAGTGAGTAATCATTATCATGACTAATTGCAACTGTCACAACTATAAAGGTAGTGTTGTAACAAAAACGGGGGAGTAGTTAATCTTACATTCCAGAAATAGAGGACCCTAGGACCATCAAGGGAGAAGAGCATGAGTGGAATGTGGGACCCTAAACAGAGAAGCAGGGACACCAGAGATGGAGTCAGAGATGAAAACATGGAGAGAGGGAGCAGCTGAGGACTCTAGATTCATGGAAAGAGAGGGACTGAGTGCTGGTGGCCAGGAGGCAGGCTTGTAGAATGTGCCCTTTGGTTGTTTAAATTACTATATATTCCTGAGTGTTTTGTGTACACCCCCTAAAAAAAGAAACCAAGCAAACAAAAAGAGGGGGAATAGAAGCAAATACTGTTGAATGATGATGCACAGATGTGATCATAATCACTGCAACAAAATGATGTTGTAAAACCAATGTTCTCCCATGTAAACTATCACTCAATTCACAATAAAAACTTAAAAAATAAATCTGGAGAATATGAAAATGGGAAAGAAAACAATGAAAATGACATAGAATCATACCTTTCAGCAATCAATACCTAACCTTTTTTTTTTTTTTAATGAATCAATCAACTTTATTTGATAAAGATTATATCATTCATTGTCTTTGTTATTGTACAACTGAAAGAATTCTGTCTTGGTAGTTACCCTTCAATTTCTACACAAGGTTTTTTGGTTTTTTGTTTAGTTTTTAGGGTGAATTATGTGATAGTTTACATGGGGGAACAGCTTTACTCATTCTATCGTATTTCATTTCATTGCAATGATTACAATCCCCTCCACACATCATCAAACAACCAGCCCACAGCCGCTCTCCCTACCTGAATCCAGAGTCCCCAGCCGCTCCATCTCTCCATGTCATCGTCTCTGCCTCCATCTCTGGCATCACTGACTCTCAGGATGGGGTCCCACACTCCGCTCTTCTCCCTTGATGGTCCCATGGTCCTCAGCTCCTGCACTACAAGATCAACCACTCCTTCCTTTTGTTACAAAACATCTGCTTTTACGTTTCCAACCCTCACAGTCAGTCCTGATAGCAATTATTTTACTATTGAACCACAAGAGTCTTATCCCCGTCTCCTTTCATCAGCCCTATCCAGACAGATTGGACACTACTCAGTGGAGAGTCTATCTTCCTCCATGCCCTCTGGATCTAGGCTCCCTCTTGAAAGCTTGTACGCCAGTCACTTCTTGCCTTTGTAGCCCCCCATTTTGGGTAGCCAATGTCTAAGTTGCCCATCCCTATTCAACCCTGAACACACCTAACCTTTTGATACTATTTTTTCTTTCTGCTTCCACATTTATATAATCTACAAAATTGTGATCATCCTGCTTTTCCAATTTAGCAACTTGCCTTTTTTAACCAATTGTTAAAGAAAATGTCACTGAAAAATCTTAGAAAACATTGTTTTTTAAAAGCTGCACAAACGAATGTAAGATCATTTTTCATTCTGCCTTTATTATTGGATATTTAAGAGGTCTATTCTGGAGACTGCTGGAAGCACTGCCCTGGAAAAGATGATATATTATGCTGTCATGGGGCTGAGTGCTCTGCATTGTCTATGAGACCAAAGTGGGTTGATTGGGTTGTTTAGTTCTTCTGTGTCTTTGTTGAGTTTCTTTTTAGTTGTTCTGCTCTTCATTGAAAGTGATGGGTTCATTTCACTGGACTGCAAAAGTCGGCGGTTCACGTTCACCAGGTGCTCTTATGAAACCCTATACAGGATCACTATGGGTTAGAACTGACTCGAAGGCACTTAACAACAGCGACAAGTAGTACTATAGAGTTGTCTAGTTCTTACTTCAATTCTGTTAGAGTTTAATTAATGTATTTTGAGACTTTCTCATTGGGAAAATAGATATTTTTTTATGTTTATGTCCTCTTGTTCAATTTACCCTTTAATCATGACATCATGTCTTTCTTTGTACCTTATGCTGGTTTTTGCCTTACAGTCTATTTTATTAGAGACTACTATTGCCCTTGTGTTCCTTTTTTATTGCCATTAATCTGATATCTTTTTTCAATTCTTTGCTTATTAGTCTATTTTTTGTCTTTGTGTGTAACGTGAATCTCTTATAGAAAGGATATTGAATAACCCTGGTTTCTTATCATTTCTGCTACTCTTTGTCTCTTGACTGGTGCATTTAATTCATTGACATTCAATGTAATTGTTGATAGGTATGAGTTCATTGCTGTCATTTATGTGTGTGGTTGTTTTCATGATGTTGATAGTTTCTTTGTTCCACATAAATTTCCAATTCATTTTGTTTGTGGGTGTTTTTTTTTTTTTTTTATTCGTTTTCATCATTGATGTTGTTTTAAACGTTTACTCAATGTTTCTGATTTTTCTCCTTTTTAGTTTGATGTGAAGG